TTACCGGGATCAAAAACTCGGGGATTATCGGAAAGTAATTTTCATCGACCGAATCCTCCCCGTTGACAAAGGGGACCAGGTATCGGCCGACCGTTTTTCTCGATCGGCCGCCATCGTTTTAAGGTGTTCTTCTCCTTGGGGAGCATCGAGGGCGAGCGATCGATCGAGTGAAAAAAAAAAATGTTCCGATCGGTTGCCTATTAGTCGAAACTTTGTTGTATTGTCTTCAATTTCTTTCTCGTTTTATATTTTTCGTTCGTTTATTTTTTTTTTATCATCATTTTATTCCTTGGATAAGAAATCGCGCAGGGGAACGTTGTAAAGGTTGGTGCAATGATGCAAGTATATATCGATGTGTATATAAGTTGTTTTTTTAGTGGAGCGAGATTGTACTTAATCGACGAGTCGATCGAAGAAATTTGAGGTTATGTTTATTCGAGGTTATGATGACAAGGGGGATATACACGTAATATACACGCATAGGTAAATGGTCTTTAATATTTCAAATGTGCGGTTGTTCGATGTTGCTCGATTCTCGGTCACGAAATTACTATATTAGTGATAAAGGATTATTAAGCTATAATCATTGCGGAGAATAAACTTGTTAGATCTGCCTGAAAAATAAGGACGAAAGAAAATCATATTCGTTCCGAGAATCGATACGATAAAATTAGAATTTCCAGCGATGCGATATAAAAAAAAAAAGAAAGAAATAAAAAAAAGCAACATCCGCTACGAACTTGAGAGAGGAGGAGAAGAACAACTCGACTTCTTGCTAGAAGATCCAACCAATATCTAATTTAAAAAAAACTAGCTTACTTGCTCTCGATCGAAACGAGTATGGAAACCTTTTCCGAAACGAAACACCCGGAAGTAAAACCGGAAACCGAAATTATCCTTCCACGTTATAATTTCCATCGAATCCACGTGTTTTCTGCTAAACGCGGGTAAAAGTAGATCATTCAAAGAAGAACTCGGGCGCGTTTTCTAAACGGACCGGTTGGAAGGAAGAGGAGAAGAAGGAATTTAAAAAAAAAAAAAAAAGAAAGAAAGAAAAAAGAGAAAAGAGGGAAAAAGAAAAGAATTCGCAGACGCGTTTTACCCCTGCCCCGGGAAACGATTCGAGATTTTTATTGGCCTGGTCGAAGTTCGTCGGCGAGTTTTAGCCAAGTTTTACGCCGTTCTCCGCTCGGCTTGCGATCGCTCCAACGACTTCGTGGAAAACGAATGGACGAACGGCGAGGAGTTTCCGGCGCGCGAAACGAGGCGTAAATGTAAACGAGCAATCGACTCGTTTCACCCGGTTACCGACGAATAATTCGCCCGCGCGCGCGAGCGAGCGAGGGATATCTGGCGCGGAGCAACCGTTTCCTTCGCGCGTAACACGATACACCGTGGATACAAGAAGCCTTCTCGCTATGCATATTTATTCGTTACAAGTTTGGGATTGGCCGCGAGCGTGTAATTGCCAGGAAGGCGAAATT